AAGAATACATTAAAGTTAAAAGAAGTCAGAATTAGGTTGGGAACTGGGTTTCTGACCCCCATACCATGTACACCCCTGACATGATGTCCTAGAAATACCTCGAGATGACAAGCGCATCGGCTCTGCCTTTTCTAAGAAAATAAAACAACCACCCCATTGCTGGTAATTAAAAAATAGTAACTACCAGCCAAACCTCGCAAGTCAGGACCTTCAAAGAAAGAAGAAAAGACTGCCAAGGTCCCTCAGGGGGAAAAAAGGGCAAGAAAAAATCATGGTAGATGTCCCAGACATGCACCCGACGTGCAAAAATGGACTGCATTCAAGCCTGATTGCTTGTGTCTTGGGTGATTGACCTACACTTGGCACATAACTTTGAGATGGCCTAAACCACCAAAGCCTACATATCATCCCCGTGGGGGTCAGACTCATCTATTGAAAAAATAATATATATATATAGTCTATATATACATATTAATCTCTTTAATATTATATATATATATCATATTTTCCAATACTAATTGAAATCTATTGGCATTAGGGGGCCAGCCACCCTGCATCCGACGAATTCGAAGTCAATGGAATTGTGAAGATCAGGAAGATTGCCTGCCAAGGTCTTGGTGTTATTTACATGATCTTTTGGGATCCGCGCTAGAGACACAGCATGAAATGGTAGAATATGATTGTATATAAGATGTCAAATAACGATACATCATGAGATATGATGATGCATGATGATGATTCACGGTGATATATAGTAACATATGCATGCATAATTATTTTTTTTGACTTATGATATAATCTTATTCTATGAACAATAGGATCATTCTCTGATGCTATATCTATGATTATATATTATGCACAGGTACAAGGTTGGGTCAAGGTAACAAAATGATCCAAGTTACCACCAGAGGCAGCGCCACGCGACAAATGATCCGGTGACTCAAGTCACCTGATGAACAGGGCAGTGCTGATTTCCTAGAGATGTTTACTGCCTGCTGGTATCAGCCAGAAAGGGAACATGTATGAACACGTGCAGTATCTTGAGAAGTAAGGCATGATCCTGATGCTTCACAAGAAACGCTTCATCATTGTTTCTGAGAACCAAGAGCCCCCCATGGACATTCTGTGAATCCAGCTCTTGTACAGCCAAGGAGCCATTGTGGCCTGCTCTCAGCAATAATTGGAAGAGAGTGATGGCGCGCAGCGCCACTCCAAACATCACCAGTTGGATGTCCGAAGCCAAGAAAATGTAGGAACTCTTCATATCCTGGACATCAAAACTGGTGCAGCTGCCGCCAACGACTCGAAGGCGACCAGGTTCAAACATACACATTTCTTGGGGCCATGAAGGGGTGTAGTAGTATTCACTCATCAATCACTCATGCCTGTATGCACGCAAGTAATCTCCGCATGTATAACATTACAGAATGACTTATGACAAATTCTATATGTCAAACGTTTGGACTGTTTGGAGCCAATGGCCAACCCTCTAGACATCTCCTAGACCCTGAACAAATGGTTCGTGCATCAACTCTTCCAAACACACGAAAAGCATCCAAACTGCATCCAAACTGCAAGAACACCACGACTCTTCAAGCCGAGATGCCAAGCCAAAGTATCCGTGGACGACATATTACCATATGTAGAACTACCCGCGAAACTGCCACAACTACCCCATATAACTGCCGGCAACTGGATGACCAGTGTCACTTCTTCCCAAATTTCTTCCACTTTTAGCACTCTTTTTGTGTTGAACGTGTTCTTTTTCAAGGACCATTGCCTCCAATCCGATTTTTCTGGGAGGCTCGGCACCGAGAGTCTTCTAAGAAGATCGGTTCCCCAAGGAGCTTGCCAAAGAGCCCGTTGGATCTCAGGTGGCTTGGTGGCACTTCACAACCTCAGGGATGCCGCACAAAAAGTGCCCGCCGAACCAAGCTACCAAATAACCCCTTCCCCCTATTACGACCCCCCCCAAATAATAAACACTAGGGTCCGTCTCCAATTTTCGAAAATTTGAGGTTGGCTAATTTGATTAATTGATTCCCTTTATCCTTTAGAACGCAACTTAAACAAGATGCAGCCCACGAACCCGAATGCAGTCACGTAGAACACTTGTGTGAAGCAAGTTATTTGAACAGTCTAGATGTTTCCCCTGTTACCGTACCAGTGCGCTGTAGACTGTGGAATGCACAAGAGGGTGGAGTGCAAAGTGTGGAGTGTGGAGTGTAGTGTGGAGTGTAAAGTGTAGAGTCTGGAGTGAGGAGTGTAAAGTGTAGAGTGCAAGGTGTGGAATGTAAAGTGCGGAATGTAGAGTGTAAAGTGTGGAGCGTAAAGTGTAGAGTGTGGAGTGTGGAGTGTGAAGTGTGGAGTGTGGAGTGTGGAGTGTGAAGTGTGGAGTGTAGAGTGTAGAGTATAAAGTGTAGAGTCTGGAGTGAGGAGTGTAAAGTGTAGAGTGCAAAGTGTGGAATGTAAAGTGCGGAGTGTAAAGTGTGGAGTGTAAAGTGTGGAGTTTAAAGTGTAGAGTGTGGAGTGAGGAGTGTAAAGTGTAAAGTAGTGAGTGAAAAGTGTAAAGTGTGGAGTGTGGAGTGTGCAGTGTAAAATGTGTTGTGTAAAGTGTGGAGTGTAAAGTGTGGAGTGTAAAGTGTAAAGTGGGGAGCGTCGTGTGTAGAGCGTGACAGGGGAGGACCATCAAAAAAATAAAAATAATTATCATCAAAAAAAATTAATTCATCAAAAAAAAATAAATCATCAAAAAGAAATTTAAATAAAGGAAAGAAAAGGAAGGAAGGAAGGAAGGAAGGAAGGAGAGAAGGGAAGCAGGAAAGGAAGGAAGGAAGGAAGGAGAGAAGGGAAACAAGAAAGGAAGGAAGGAAGGAAAGAAGGGAAGCAGGAAAGGAAGGAAGGAAGGAGAGAAAGGAAGCAAGAAAGGAAGCAAGAAAGGAAGGAAGGAAAGAAGGGAAGCAGGAAAGGAAGGAAGGAATGAAAGAAGGGAAGCAGGAAAGGAAGGAAGGAATGAAGGAAGGAAGGAAGGAGAGAAAGGAAGCAAGAAAGGAAGGAAGGAATGAAAGAAGGGAAGCAAGGAAAGGAAGGAAGGAAGGAAAGAAGGGAAGCAAGGAAAGGAAGGAAGGAATGAAAGAAGGGAAGCAAGGAAAGGAAGGAAGGAAAGGAAGGAAGGAAAGGAAGCAGGAAAGGAAGAACGGAGGGAGGGAGGGAGGAGGGAAGGAAGGAGGGAAGGAGGGAAGGAGGGAAGGAGGGGAAGACAGGGAAAGAAAGGAAAAGAAAGGAAAAGAAAGGAAAAGAAAGGAAAAGAAAGGAAAAGAAAGGAAAAGAAAGGAAAATAAAGGAAAAGAAAGGAAAAGAAAGGATAAGAAAGGAAAAGAAAGGAAAAGAAAAGAAAGGAAAGAGGAAAGGAAAGAGGAAAGGAAAGAGGAAAGGAAAGAGGAAAGGAAAGAGGAAAGGAAAGAGGAAAGGAAAGAGGGAAGGAAAGAGGGAAGGAAAGAGGGAAGGAAAGAGGGAAGGAAAAGAAAGGAAGGAGGAAATGAAGGAGGAAAAGCAGGGAAGGAAGCATACAAATTGCCATTCTTTACAAATACAAGCTAGCTTTCGAATGAAAGGATGTACCTGACCAGTGGTAGACGGGCTATTTTAGGACCAAAAACGAAACCCATGTTATCGGGAGATTGTTGGAAGTTAGCAAGGAAACATTAAGGACCCCAAAAAAAATGAGGGAGGGTAATTTAATTTGTTTCTTTTTTTTTCTCCTTGGTTCCTGGTGGCTCCTATAGTTCCCTGTGTGGCTCCTGGCTTCTGTGGCTCCTTCGGCTCCTGTGTCCCTGGTGGCTCCTGGTGGCTTCGTGGCTTCTTGGCTTTTTGGCTTCTGGCTGCTTGTCTTTTAGCTTCTTTGGTACGTGGCTCCTCCGGCTCCTCTGGCTTCTTCGGCTCCTATGGCTCCTTCGGCTCCTGTGGCTTTTCGCTCTTATGGCTCCTTCGGCTCCACATCTACACCTACGTCTATGTCTATATCTATATCTCAATCAATCAATCAATCTATCTTTCTTTCTATCTATCTATTTGTCTTTCTATGTATCTTACCCTATCTTACTCTATCTTACCCTATCTTACCCTATCTTTTCCTATCTTACCCTATCTTATCCTATCTTTTCCTTTTTATTCTATCTTTCCTATATTGCGAATGAATGTATCATGACCATGTGACGCTTTGCAAGGGGGAGGCGCCGCGCCCTGTTTTTTTTTTTACTTGAATCCTACGTGGGTACTGCATGAGTATTGAGCATATTTATATACGCTGTCAAGGCTCACGAGAGGTATAGAGTAATCCTGTGGACACCACTCATGTGACGCTTTGCCCTCCCACCGCGCCCCCCTCCCGCCTTTTTATTTTAAAGCCCTGCCCGCGGCTTGTGACAACGCCAGAAAGGTGGATGATAAGGCCCACCCACATTGCGAATGAATGTGTCATGATAAGGCCCACCTACATTGCGTCCATTCCAACATAGTAGACATACACCTTTGCAAGTCAAAATGGGGATGGCAGCTGACCATTGCTGTGTGGGGGCCTGGAACTGGTGGCCCGGTGGCCCAACGACTCAGCTGCCTTGCAAGTAGGGCTGTGTGGCTCGAACGCTAGGTCCTGGGAATTGGGTACGCTTGGTCGCTGGGCCAGGTAACTTACACGCATGGAAGTTCGATTCCCGCACGTTCTCATCTTTCTTGGCATTGCCAAACCTGTCGCAGCCAACCTGCTCAGCTTCGTCTACTGTCCTCCTGCTACTTCCTCTGGGTTTTAGCGCCAGGCTTGACCTATTGGCCTCTGGCCATTTGGCTTTTGGCTCTTTGGCCTTTTTCAAGCATACTTCATCGCGTAGCCGTGCGTTGTTGTGCAAGCTTCCGTATACAGCAGGCCCACCCACCCGTGCCTGGAAAACATGATGGAAAGAATGGTTTTTGTAGCCCATTGGATTCAATGTTGTTTGGCCCAGTGCCTCGTTATTGAACAGCTTGCGAACCAATACGTGTTCCTTGTGCGATGACTCGTACATGTCGGCGTCGACCAAGCCCACCCAACCGTCCCTCCCAAGTATATTCCTTTTTTAAAATACTTTTTTCTGCTAGTAATAATTGTTTTACCAATGACCCCCCCCAAAAAATTTAAATCATCAAAAAATAATTTAAACATATTTTTTTTGATGATGCAATGCACAGATTTCATGATGCTTGTATTTTGCGTTTGGCTTGCGCAGGCCAGGATATGAGGGAATATTTTTTTTTTGATGAGTTTAATTTTTTTTGATGGGAAATTAAATTTCTTTTTGATGACTTTAAAATTTTTTTTTGATAGCTGACTCGTGGAGTGTAGTGTGGGGAGTGTGTCAAATGTAAAGTGTGGAGTGTAAACTGTAAAGTGTGGAGTGTAGAGTGTGGAGTGTGGAGTGTAGAGTGTAAAGTGTGGAGTGTAAAGTGTGGAGTGTCAAGTGTAGAGTGTAGAGTGTGGAGTGTACAGTGTAGAGTCTGGAGTGAGGAGTGCAGAGTGCGGAGTGTAAGTGTAGAGTGTGGGGTGTGGAGTGGGAAGTGTGGAGTGTAGAGTGTGGAGAATGTGGAGTGTAGAGTGTGGAGTGTGGAGTGTAAAGTGTGGAGTGTAAAGTGTAGAGTGTAAAGTGTGGAGTGTAAAGTGTGGACTGGGAAGTGTAAAGTGTATAGTGTGGAGTGTAGAGTGTGGAGTGTAGAGCACGCAATGCGACATGTCTGATGTGTTGCGCCTGCCATGCAACATGGCAATGGAGGTCTCCAAAGTGCGGCGCCGGCCACGAAAACTGCAACTCATCTTGTGAAAACGACGCAAAGTATTGCGCCTGCGACACAAAACGACTCTCGACACGTTACAGTATCAAACAGGTTGGAATGTCACAAAGTGCCACGCCTGCCACGCAAAACGGCATGACAACCTGCTTTGAAACCTTCGAAACAGGATAGGTTTTGCAGCTTGCCCACGTAGACACGGCGGGGCCACAGGAAAACCGGAGACTCGAGACGAGACACGTTGGAGCATCAAAACCAGCATTTCGTGCGAGACTCCATCCAATTTTCATACTTTGTTTGTAGCTTCAAATTCGGCGTTTTACGAGTTTTCTTATGAACCTCCAAATTTGCTACCTCAAAATCGATGTTTCGTGCGAAGCTTCCATCAAGTTTCATCACGTCTCAGAAAATGCCACGCCTGCCACGGAATTTGCACCTCGTCGCCACTTGACGCAGCCCTGATTCGCAAAAACACGCAACGCGACACGTCTAAAGTGCTACGCCTGCCACACAAAATGACGATGGACACGTCCAAAGTGCTGCGCCTGCCACCAAAACTGCAACGCATCTTCTGAAAACGTCGCAAAAGTATTGTGCCTGCCACACCAAACAACTTTCCGCACGTCACGAAACACGTCTGAATGTCACGAAGTGCCATGCCTGCCACGTGAAACGAAGCAACGCGACGTTTCAAACCTCCAAAAATGACCCCTTTTGCAAAACTTGCCATAGGCACGGCCATACGGCCCTCACGCGGACGGTTGCGAACGGTTGCGGACGGTTGCGAACGGTTGCCGCAAAGTCGAGCGAACACACCCTCAAACCCCAGACCCCCAGAGTGAAATAAAACTACCTGAGGTGTTGATTATTTGGGGGGATGGGGGTTTAGTATTAGGGGGAACGGATTATGGATGCTCAGCCAAGCAACTCACACCCTTCTTTTGAAGAACTCCATCGCAGACAGCGCGTCGCAAGGGTCTTAGGGAAAATCTCAATACATTCCATTTCCGCCCAGCAAATGGAAGAACCACACAACTCACTTGAGTTCCTCAATTTCAATGTGCACAGTTTTCCCTCCAAAATGAGTGGGATGTAAACCATGGTAAAACCGATGCTCAACTGCTAACATGGTGATGCTGCCGCTATGGTGATTGCATTCCACACATTAGCAACAACTCCAAAGGAAGTGCCGGGAAGCTCTGTGCAGCCATCGTTCAGAAGAATTGGTAGAATTCGTTCCACCGTATAAAACGACGGTGACAACATGAAGATCACCCAACCTGCCCAGCTACGGGGCAGATAGGAGGTGGGGGCATATAGTACGCACATTGTAGACTCCAAAAGATATAAAAACTCCAGCATCTGTTTGTTTACAGGAGTGTACTTGGATGTGCATCCCATCTACTTCATAACCTATACACATTATAACTGGGGTATGGTATGTCCTATCTTTCTTGCTCACTCACGATGCCTGGATGCACCACCATTTTGAGTTAAATCCCATACTGTACCTCCACGCTATATAATTTAAGGATTTAATGGTTAAACCAATGATGAACCATAAAAAGTCCATAAACACTCCCTTTTTCACTCGACAAATCCCTATTGATTTGGATTAAATTCAATTGCTTTACCATTTCTCACATAAAAACACAATGTTTTATCCTTTTTGCTTTTTCACCATGTTTCATGGTTATAGCCATGTAACCCCAGCCACACGATCGCGCTGAGGGCCCTGCGCCACGACCCGCCTAGGCCACCTAGCGCTCCATGCACATTGCCATAGGCGATCATGTCCTTGGAGCTTCACCCAGAATTCCAAAAAGACATAGAAATAGTGCACATGTACTTCTGATTTCTACTGGATACTCCCAGAATGAAAGCTAATACTTCTATTGGATACAATCACAAATTAAATATAATCAATTATAGTACAAATGCATATGAAATATGTTTGACTATGTATAACTTAAATGCAGTCAATCAAATTCAAGTATATTCAAAATTAGTCAAATATAGTATAGTCAAATATGATCAAATAAACTATAATCAACTATACTCAATTATCTACAAGCTTTCTCTTTTGTTCTTTCGTGACTGCTGTGAGTGCGCCCTACAGTGGAGGTTCAGACAGGCTCTTACTTGAAACCATGATCCAGGTCAAGATCCATCACTCAACAGGCACCGGCAGCACTGGCATTTAGAAATTTAAAGCGGTCATGAACCTATCTGTTCTATCTAAAACAACAATCCATGTACATTATTTCGATGCAGGTTGTCTTCGAATCAATCTACCGGAAAGTATTTCGAAGAGATGTTCGTCTTCGAAAACAATGCTCTACCCTCTGGTAATCTAACATCTTGCTATGGAAAATCCTGAGTAACAAATATAACTATATATACATAATCATGGTCAATCTTAGGTACTTGCCAACAAATCTAATCTAATCTCTAGCTTGTTAGTAAATCCAACCATTGATAGCAACATATTAAAGCACTCAAAGTATCTAACCAAGGGTTGAACCAGTGGTAAACCATCGACCATCATCGGGCCATGCCTTCCACCATGTTCCATCCAGCCCTCAGATTCCCCTGGTGTCCCAGGAGCCACACCCGAACACAGCTGCGCCACCACCAGCAATAACCTTCGGAAGATCCAAAATCCGGTGGCTGGTGAAGTCACCCATTGGGGAAACAAACCCTCCAGAAAACATATAGAAAAAAACCGTGATAATATAATATACCATCTGGTTATTTAACAGTTCGCCATGGAAAATCACCATGCTATTAATAGGTAAACCATCTATTTCCATGGGCCATCTATACCATGGCTATGTTAGTCATAACCAAATGGTATGATAATCCATGGGTTTAGTTTCCCATGCGGACAGGATCTACGGATGGTGGAGTCTTTCCATATCTTAGCTCGCTGGAGGGTATCATGGGGGTATCATAGGGGTGGGGACATGAATGATGCCAGGCGAACAGATGGGGGACTATGAAACCAACAACGATCTGCTTGGCACCCAGGCTCTGAAAAATTAACTATCTTGCAATCATGAAACTTTATCAGGATGCAAACGGAATGTGCCATCTGGTTGTTTAACATAGCTCTGGAAACCATTGTCCATTTAGTTCGATGAGTTATAATGATTTACCTATAAAATATATGGGGTGTTGATTTTCCATAGCTAAAAAGTTAAATAAGTAGAGGGCATATATGCCATGCTATTTCCCAACAGCCAAACAGTGTTTCTCCACATTCTCTCTGCTGAGCCCAACCAGGCCATGCATCAGCTGAGATCGTGTGAAGAGGATATCACCAGCCTTCGAATATTCGGATATGTTTGGCGGGCTTTGCTCTTCTGGTAATCCAAACCTGACTGGAAAATCAAGCATCACAACTATTATTTTACTAGTATATAAACATGGAGAAATACCACTGTGCTTCTCCAATTTTTTGATTACTGGAGGGCAATCCCATTCTCCGCACCGGTCTGCCAGGCAGCATGATGGTGACGGTGGCCGTGGATTGGCTGGGCAGGTTCATTGACAAGAAGAAAGATATACCTGAAATGCATGATTCATTGGATTGGTTGATTGGTTCAAGGAAATCCTGCAGGTACTTGATGGTGCAGATTTTCCTTCAACCAAGTGAATGATGCGCGTTGATGGACCAACCGAGACTTAGAACAACTGGTTGGGACAGGCCAAATTGGAATCGTCTTTGAAAGAGCCGTCCCACCTATATAAATGATTATCTGGTACTGCCATGCGAATACTGGCCAAATCAAATATCGAAATCACCAGCCAGATACCACACCTCTTCTGAATTTGCTACACTTCCTCGTTTTGAAAGAGATCAAAAGTACACGAAAGTGGAGAAAGAATGAAGGACAACTCCGAGATTTCTGTTGGAAAGCTGCTCAGGGTATACAGGAGTTTTCTCGTCCCATGCCAAAAGGTCAAGATGCCAAAAGCCAAATAGCACTGTGCCACTGACAGACGCAGCAGAACCCAAGGTGCTGCCGCAACATGGGAGAACGGGCCGTAAATACCTGTCACTTGGACTCGGCTTGATTTGTCAAGCTTTAGGTAATATATGGAGTACAATATGCTGTAATAATATCGGAAACTCATCGCCCAATATTGGGTTTAATATATGGAAAATAGTTTTGAGCAATCCTATTTTTATGGTGTGTGTAATTTATCGAAGCATGCTTCAAATCACAAGTGCGTGCAGAAAATTCACAACCTGGTATGGAAGCCACTGATGTGGAAGATAGAACCCCGAAGTGGTATGAAGTGGCCATTTCACATCATTTCACGCAGGACCCAATGGTGAAAAGTGAAAACACGCTTTCAAACTATGTTCCAAACTTACGTAATCGGAACTTTCAGATTGATACCCTCTGGTAAACTAACATAACATAACCATAGAAAATCACCATGTTGAATAGGTAAACTATCTATAAATAGGCAATTTTCCACAGCTATGTTAGTTTACCAGAGGGTAGATCCGTATCAGCACATGATTCGCTGTGAAGCGCCATGGTCCGAACGTCAGCGCGAGCGGCCTGTCCACAACATCGCGAAGAGCAGCATCTCCGCGAAATGGCAGAGGTCCTGAAGCGCAACAGAATGGAAAATGATGTGTAACCCAAGCAAGCCCATGGTTGATCATCTTTTCCCATTGAGAACAGCCAGAAAATCCAAAAGACTCATGTTATCCCAAGGTTCATTGTGGATAATTGCTAGTATGGTACTGTAGGTAAAGGAGTCGTTTGACTTTCATGGATGAATGAGCCATCAATTGGGGCACCCCCTCTATCACTAATTCCTGGCTTTCGTAGTCCTGCCGAGTCCTGCCAGAATCTGCATGCCTAAAAGTTATATGAATATTGCATGCGTCCACCATGGTTCACCTCATTTCACCTATAATTGTTCCGAACAAATCGGAGCAGTGAGAGCGCTTCTTCTTGGTGTTGTCCAAAACAGCGTGGGAATAGAGGCCCCAAGATCTTCCCATTGAAGCAACCAAGGCAATCACGCATCGGACGTCTTTGGATCATGATGCTTCTACTTGTCAATCATTTTTTTACTAGTAAATTGGCCACAAGTCAGGGAAATAGAGGCAGAAAAATCTAACTCCTGCTGATGATTCTCGTGTTGGGAGGCCATTCACAACTTGGATCCCTTCGCCTTGCCCGTCCTTTGCCAGGTACTGAGACAAGATAGGAATCCCAGCAGTATCCTGCGTTGGGATCCCACCACAGGAAGATCACTGGTACACTGCCAGCTTGGCCATCTTTTCTCCATGGTTGTATCATGGAGTGGTTTATAAACCCATTGACTAGTTCGATATACCATAAATGTAGATAATTAAATAAATACACTTAAAATTTTAAAATAACCAAATAAAAAACCTAGTGTCTATTTTTATATATATATGTTTATATTAGAGTCATCTTCCTTACCATCTTTCGATATTTTCTGTGAACCATTGTGAACCTCGAAAAAGATGCCGCGCCCGACACCGACTGACTATGCAGTTGTTCTATCTCCAACTGACTCTCACAAAGTTAACGCTTGTGTCCTTTTGGAGAACCAGGTGGGGTGAAATTGGCGTCACATTTTTTCATTTACCGTCATTTCGAACAATAGCCCTATCATGGTTGAGTATCAGCCACCAAAAAATGGTAGAAATGGGCCGTTCGTCTGTGGGAGCAGCTGGGCTGCCACTTGGATGTGCATCTTACACCTATATTGACTAGGTAGAGATTGATCATCCCACAAACTAACATCATAGGCCACTAACATAGACATCATAGACCCCTGGAATAAATGGAAGTTCTCCCCTTCTTAGAGGAAATGTGGCTTTGGAAACTTCTTTTCCTCTCAGAATAGGCAGCCACGAAAAGAGTCGACGTTAGTTCGGCCACGAATTCTGCAGGCCTCACGCTGCCTTTCAAGCCGGTCGCAGCTGAAGACATACATACCTGGGACATTTATTTTAAGGACCTGGGAGTTGATCTTCCTATTGGATAGTGCCATTTAAAAACAGGATGGTAAGGGTGGTGGGTTCAATAGTAAAATACGGTGGTTGAAAGTCTATCTCTAAGCCCCAGGTGAATTCTCCCGTCGGAAGACCAGGATTTGGGCCGTAGGAACCTATCATATGTTGGATACTCTGCATGATACTCGCGATGAATTGTAATTGCATAAACATTGATTCAGCATTTTCTGCACAAACCAGCTGACATGAGTACCAACCACTTCCCCATAATATATATATATATATACTGGTTGGTGGTTGAGCCACCCCTCAGAAAAATATGAAAGTCAGTTGGGATGATGACATTTCCAATTCTGGAAAAAAAAACATGTGCCAAACCACCAACCAGTAATTAATCATAATATGAAAAAAGCTTCCCAAGCAAAACTCTGTTTCATCCGGGGGTCCACCGACCAAAAACGGGGGAAGAAATCCGTCGGGGTCAGCATTTTTGTTTTGTTTTTCGAAACAATAACGTGCCTGAAGGATCTGCTGAAAGACTTTTCCAAAAGGTTTATGGACATAAATTGCTGGTGCTGTAATCTGTGGCACAAGATATCATGATGTCTTTGATAAATGACTTACGGTGATTGTAATGATTCGGTTCAAGCTAGTTAGTCACTGCGGAGAGAGTGGCAACCGAGAGGGCCAAGAGTAATTATTTATGTTTGATGCTTAAGACTTGAAACATCTGACACCCATCTGGGTAAATTATAATAATTCACTAGCCTGAAATAAGGCTATCTTGGGGATGGCTTACTAACCATGATTATAGTGAGGCCGCAGTGAGGTCGCAGTGAGGTCGTTATAATTTACCCAGACCCATGTAATATGATGCCTGCTTGGGTTTGTTGATTCCTCTGATGCTGCCTGCTTCGTCAAGAGTTCACGCTGTGTTGCTATGGATGCACACCGGGAGCATCAGCATTGATTGGGCGATGCCCATCTTCGTCAGAATCGTTTCGAAGTCTCCGTCATCACCTGAGACGTGCGGATGAAGCGAACACTTGTGCCGAAAGACCATAAACTGATCCGCTGGATTTCAATGGATTTATATAGGTGGATTTAGAATATACATATAGGTTGAGGGGAGTTTTCAGTACCCTCCAACCATTGGAGCATGCTTTGCCCTCCAATGAACACATCGATGCCACCAGGGGGTGGGCCATACAAGTAGTAACAAACCCACTGAACGTGACACCCACCCACTTTCTAATCGCACCATCCCCTAAGATTACAATCTCAGAGCTGGCTGGTGCTGGAGCTTACAGGAGTTTACCATATGAAGGTTTCCTGAAATGAGGGTACCCCTAAATCATCTATTTCATAGGAGTTTCTATGAAATAAACCAACCAGCTATTGGGGATCCTCCCAACCCCCAGCAACCCCCAGCAACCCCCAGCAACCCCCAGCAACCCCCACCCTGGCCCTGGCAGCGCCAGAGTGGCCCAGTAGAAGTCGCACCACGACCAGAAATAAGGCCACGAGGCCCAGATTCGTCACGCGATGCTTCCAGAGACGGCACACCTGGAGGCAACAGCGCCTTGGACGAGCTGGGGATGGCTGGGACGTCAATTAGAGCAACCCCAAAAAGGGATAGCAAGGGCCATGGAAGTGGCACAAATTACTGTTCTTTCACATTTTTCGGGTCAAATCCTGTGACAGTGTGAATTCCAAATCGTATACCTACCATGAAGCCTTCTTCGTTGAGATGGCCGTTCATCTGCCCATTAGCTCAAGTGACAATCATCCCTACGTGACGCATAGAATTCCACAAACTATCCATGACACCCATTCATAATTACAGGGATATGAACCAGGCTATTACATTGAACATAATTACAGGATATTACATATCACCTAACATAATTACATTGAACATAACAAACCATAATGGTTCACCAACATTGAACATAATTACAGGATATGAACCAGGCTTGGGTCATCCATGATGAACCCACCCACCATCATCCACCATCCCACTTTTTGAATGGCCAGGGTTTAGGGGGTTGGGTTCCCATCGATGGATCCCCATTTGGCGGTTTATGATGGAAAATCTTATGGAAAAGTGGATGATTTAGGGATCGCCCCCATTACCCATGGGATCCATGGTGCTGGTATATATGCTAACATTTGGGGTATATTGATGGTAAATGTTACCATATATAGCATACATGGATCCTATGGGTTATAGGAAACTACCATTTCACTTCACCATATTAATTCATATTTCAATATATTTCACCTCGGCATTTTTGTACCCAGTGACAGGTACAAGGTCCAGAAGGTCTCCGAAACGCCAGGCCGAAACTTCTCGTACGAGGACAGGGGTGGAGGCGCCTGTACCTCCTCACCGAACTGCGGAGGGGTTGCAATCATGATCATCAATTTCAGAACGGATTCATACTTAAAATCTGTGGATGATAAAATCTCAAAAAGTGTTTTATCATCATGTTTAATGAAAATTCACTCCCCCACGGGGTGCCGCCCTCTAAAATCTATGGATTAGAAACGGTTAGAATTTATACTCATAGCTGGCATAGCTGGGGCTTGGCATCTTGTGGATCCGCCTCCGCGGAGCGAAAGGGGGCCACAGAATGCGCGTTGGATCGCCACTGGGCGGCCAAGTCATGAGAGGCTTCGCTCGACTCGGAGCTGGAACTGTCGATGAAGTCCAGGAAACAATCCTGGAACTGAGACTTACCCTCTGGTAATTTAACATAGCTATTGAAAATGGCCATTTATAGTGGATTTTCCCATTAAAAATGGTGATTTTCCTTGGCTATGTTAAATTACCAGAGGGTACTGGTGCTTAGTAATGAGGGAATGATCTATAATAACCACTAGTAATCATCCCAGCAACCCCCTAAACCCCACGTAAAACGCACCAGAAGTCAGCTCCAATCTGAAAGTTGGCCCTTGACATCTAACCAATCGGTTGGATAGGGAAAAGGAACAAACAAATTTCTGACGAAGAATGAACAACAATGGGTGAGAAATTCCCAATGTCATAATAGTATGAGATAGGATGCGGGATCCAACTTCCAGACGTATACAGAAAAAGTGGGAATTGAGAATTTGTTCACCGCAGTCTCCAACACTTGGAGATGCTTCAAGCCACAAGCAATGGGATTGGACTGAAGGGATGATTTCTGGAATTTCCTGGATGGGAGGGGTGCTTACTTTGAGACGGCCTCGTAAAGTCAACATGTTGATTGATCTGATTGATCCATGGCCTATCTCTAGATAATCCTGAAAAGACTACATTTTAGCATAGTTTCGCTGGTTACTAATTGATCTAATTGTTAGTATATATGTTCTAATTATTCATAATTCATAGCCAAAAATTCAGAACTAGCACTACCCACCCAAGGTTTCCCAAGTTTAGCAACCTCTCTAAGCATTGCCGGCCACGGTTCGGCAGGATTCGCCTTGTCAGGGATCTCCGCATGAAGCACCTTTGGGCACGATATCCAGCAATGAAACCTATAGGAGAAGTAGGGCTCTTGGATGCTTTTGGCATGTTTGTTTCCACCCACATAAGGGTTTCCGGTTTCGATTTTAGCTAAGCAACAAAATCAACAATTATGGGAAGCCGAGGTTTGTTTCAACCCTTCACAAACTGTGTCCGAAACCTTCAATCAAAATTGATCCATGATTGCAGTGGCAAAACATATCCCCTCCCACCATGGCAACGCTCGGGTTTCCAGAATATTCGCAGAGAGCAGCGAACTTTACATTAGAAATATTCAGAAAGTACCCAAAGCCCTAGAATATTTGCTGAACACCCATCATTTTCTCCAGGGTTTGGCCTCTGCAAAAACTGTACAACCTGAAACATGGGACGCCCCAAAATTGCTAATGGAAAGCAACAGCTGGTGATAATAAATGTTCACACCAAACAATGGATCCAAGACTTTAACACTATGGATGTTGAACTTAACACCAAACAGTGGTTAACATTAATTATAATTCACTATAATTCACTATACCATACATCACTGGAAAAAGTACTATAAATCGCTATAAATCACTACAAATCATTAAAAAACACTATAATTCACTATAAATCACTGGAAAAAGTACTATAAATCGCTATAAATCACTACAAATCACTAAAAAACACTATAAATCACTATAAATCACTGGAAAAAGTACTATAAATCGCTATAAATCACCATAAACCAAGCCCCTTTTTCATCCCGTTGCGGTGACACAAAAGGCACCTGGGTGAAGTAGTTCACGCTCTCGGCCACGGCACCGGAGTAGACCAAGAAGCCGCCCGTGGCCAGGAGAACCACCTGGTCGAAGCACTCCTTCGCCGGGATCCGGACATGGACAGGATATGATGATAGGATGATAGGTAATGTTTAAGAACAAATAACACCTGTCTATCTATCTATCTACCTATCTATCTATCTATCTATCTATGTATCTTCCTATCTATCTCTAACTAATCTAATCTAATCTGATCTACAGTATCTATATGAAATGTGTATATGAGTGGCGGACAAAATTACTTACTACCCGCAATGGGTTTGGCCAAAGTGGGTGGTCCCCAATCGGTGTGAAGGTTTGTACTTCCATGCTATGTGCAAAAATATGGTATCGGTAAGTGGGTGGTGTTGTGAATGTTTTCGCACAAATTTCAACATCCCATGTCGACTCCCCACTACTTTAGTCTTCCGCTACTTGTGTCGGTTACTCATATATAATCATATATATATATTTATGGGTCTTGGACTTAGAATGACTTAGGCATGTTTATTTCTGTAATGAAGACCTTGCGGGAAAATCTATACCAGAAACCCAAGGTGAGGCATTCGCCCAACATGAACAGATCCAGTACGAAACCAGGGTTGCATTTGTCGGGTTTTAGTTAATATATGTTACCAGTACCCTCTGGTAATTTAACATAGCGAACTGGAAAATCACCATTTAGAAAATAAGTAAATCATCGAACAAGATCTATCAACAGCTATATGTTAAATAACCAGAGGATACCAGAGGGTAAGATCTAAGGGATCTGACTTCATGACATGTTGGCCCACCAAGCGGCCAGGGTTTGCCAGCGTGGTTGATGAATCACAGCCACCTGCAGCGTGGGTGGACTCCAGAGATAAGGGATATATGCCACATGGTTTTCGATAGTGTTTTTTTGTGCTTTTGAATGGGATTGTAATGCTGTACTCGATGGACTTTTAATGGTTCTTAATGGGATGTAGTTATATGGGATGTTTCTGGTTGGTGGCTTCAACCCCTCTGAAAAATATGAGTTCGTCAAATGGGATGATGAAGTGCCCAACTGAATGGAAAAAATAAGATATGTTTCAAACCACCAACCAGCTCATATATATAGATCATTATAGATCCAGACATTGGAAGCGTCATGCAATGTCTGCGATTTGGACACCTTTGGGCCTTTTTTGAATTGAGCGTACACCATGGTCAATCTCACTAATTGCTTCGAAAACTGAGTTCTTGTTTTTTTGGAATGGTTATAGTCCTATATCTATATGTACCAGTCAGTCTCCCCAGAACAGCGCATTCACCCTGACAACATGACACATCTATTGCTTCCCGGTGGCCGTGGTGCAACGTAGACTCGACTTGTTGCAGATCAGTTTCACGATGGAATGTGCAGCAGCTGCATCCTCACCATGTCAGTGCCCCCATGGTGATGTCTTTGTTGATATATTATAACTGCCATAAACAAGAATGACCTGATACATGGGTTATAAACTGCCCTGACTAACAGAATAAAACCACTTTGCATCTTATCTACCATTGGATCTCCAGTTGGTAGATGACGGGAAGGGTAGCCTTCGGGAACAAACAAGGAAACCCTTACATACCAATGGTTCTCCCCTTGAAAGGCGGGTGAATCTCTACATTTGCCAAGAGCCGAGGCTACCATCCCCAATGATCCAGGTCAACCAACCTGGTATGGACAAGAACTGACCCGGTGACCAGCTACGCAAAGCTCTACGCAAGTTGTTTTATACCCACCCCGAAAAGATTCTCTTTTCACGACTTGTAGTGTATCAAACTGGTCCAAACCTACTCTCCCAATTTTCTGAAACTCATTGACCAATTGTGTTTTTGTTTGCTGCACATGTTCGCAAATCACACACTGTGTTTTTCTAGATTTTGATGCTCAACCAAACTTTGTGATCATTTACCGGGTGGGTGGGCTCCTGGGTGGACTTACCACCCCAAAATCCAATGGATGACCATCGTTTTGTGGGGCAATTTTGGGAATACCTCTCATTTCTGGCACAACCCCAAATTAATCTGGGTGAATTATAATATTTCACTAACCTGAATTAAGGCCACCAACTTCTTGTGGTTATTTGGGGATGATTTCCCTTATTAATCATGATTTCAGTGAGGTCGCAGTGAGGTCGTTACAATTTATCCAGATTAATCCATTCAAGTCAGATTTCGGTTCAACCCACCACTCCCAAAAACAACACACATAGCCTTTGGTAAACTAACATAGCGAACTGGAAAATCACAATTTTGAAGTTCGGTATGCTTCGGTAAATCAACGAAGTAAAATGAAAGTGTGGATTTGTGATAGCTAATTGTTAAATTCCTAGAGAGTAACTCCCTAACCAATAATCACAATTGATCACCATTAATTATCATTAATAACCCTACCCCCGCCCAAAAAAAAAGATCACCATTAAAAAAAACATAGATCACCATTCATTATCACCATGATATAATAATACTCACTATTATGAAAGATATAGTATCGTTATAATCAAATCCCCAGTATAATCATGATATCAGCAGAATCATCATTAATTGTCCATTGGAAAATGGACCATTCATAGATGATTTATGAGGATTTACCAATTTTCTAAATGGTGATTTTCCATGGCTATGTTAAATAACCAGAGGGTATCTCTATAACTTATATCATCTTATATCATCCCCCAAACCCAAAAAAAAACACTTGAAACAAGCCGCTGACCAAAGCTGGTTGGTGGTTTCAACCCCTCTGAAAAATATGAAAGTCAATGGGAAGGATGACATCCCATATATGAAATGGAAAATAAAAGCCATGTTTGAAACCACCAACCAGAAAGTCATGGCTTGGACCTTGACGCCTAGCATCCAGACCACTCGTTGGTTCGTCCAGAAACAGCACCGAGGGGTCTCCCACCTGGCCACCGACAAAAATCCCAATGGATTTTCCAGGCATATTCTTGGTTAATGTTGGTTAATCTGAGGGGATAACCATCAAAAAAATGGATATGCTTGGAAAATGTTGGTTTAACTTAGGGGATAACCATCAAAAAACAGGATATGCTTGGTTATTGCCGGTTAATGTTGGTTCATCTTAGGGGATAGCCGGGATAACCATCGACAAAAAATGATGAAACATGATAAAACAATTAGGATGTGGGATATTGATCCACCATAATCAGTAACAATCCAATCAATGGACTGGTTTGAGGAAAAATGCACAGGAAACCATGTTTAGACATAGAGGTTTCGTGCAAATTGTCCCTGAAAAAAAAAATCCGGGAATCAAATATCATCAAACATCCATGGCACATGGTACGTTTTTTTCAATCGGATGCTTGCGGAAAAACATGCCAGTGGCTGCGAGCGTGAAACTGGTGATGTCCAAGCCAGCCATGTTCAACTACCAGAAGCGAATTGCTGCACACACTTCATTGCTTATTCGACATTACTGACCTACTCTTATGTGTTTTTCCGAAAAAGATACAGTACTTATGCATTTAATTGCAGGATGTTTTTCAAAACGAAAAACATCCCACCATAATTTCCAGATATTTCCAGGTTTCTAACAAAAAAATGGCCCTTAGACATCCCACCCAGTGGTGCCCGGGGCCCTGGTTACGAAGCCCCCATTTCCGTGTGGTCATCCATGGTTCTCCCACATGAAAATTGCGTGAAAGCCCGTTGCAATGGAACATCCATGGATGATTTCCCATGGGATTTCGGAGCTTCCAAGGATTCCAAGGATTCCAAGGCCCCAGACCAGTTCCATCGCAATGGACGTGCGCTTTCGTTGCCCTCCGCTGATGCCACGCACTTCGGCGTTCCCTTGGGGACCAAGGACCAAG